CCTGCCCCACATGGAAGGCTGAACCGGACCTAGGGCACATGGGCCCTTCCCTTTGTGCTGCTCAGACAGAACACAGACGTTTCCCAAGACAAAGCTACCCACCGAGAGACCCCACATGTGGGAAATGGTTGCCTGGTTGCATTTCCGAAGCTGGAGAGAGACCGGAGGATGCTCATAGCCCCAGGCTCAGCTGAGAGCATCTCCTTTCTCAGAGGACCCAGTCAAGGCCCAGGGTGGTGGGATTCACAGAGCAGCGAGGAGAACCTGCTGGGATTGGAGATCCGGGCTGTAACCCAGCATATGTCATTACCAACTCAAGCTCCCGAGAATCGGCTCATTTCAGAGCCCTGGGTTGGGGGCTCTGGGAATGGAGTGCTCGTTGCAAAGGGACAAGCTTCTTGAGAGAAGACTAATGCACCCAGAGTAGGGACAGGAGAACTTCCAGTGTCCTGGTTACCTGCAAGGGCTTGCCGGCCCCGGTGGGAACACCACCCTCTTGGCCTTATGCTGCTTTGGGTGTCAGCATTTCCATATCAAGGAACCTGCCGCGGACACAGACCTGCTTCCCACCCCCTCAGAGTGTGTGGACTGGAGAAGAACAGGGTTTAGGGGACAGAGAGATTTCTGGGGGAGAAATGTGGCTCTGGTCAGGTCGCCATAGAACTTTCAATGGTCACTGACCTCAGGGAGGTAAGATCCTGGCTTCTGCCTTTAAAAAGTGACCATGCAGCCCTGAGAGGTCAGACGGCAGTCAGACATGGTCCCGGGGCATGGCCTTGGATGTGGGCATGGCCACAATGGAACAGCACTTCCAGATTATACACCAGGGAAGACAAATGGGACACTACGAGGAGGTGCCCGGAGAAGGGGGCCATGCTTGGAGACGTGAGTGACTTTGCAAACAGTGCTTCTTTATTGGTGCATTATTAAAAAGGATCCAATGGGGATTTGCTGCTTTGGTGGCAACAGTCAGGGCTGAATATTACCCAGAGTCCTGGAATAAAGATAAAGAGCATCACTAGAGATAGTACTGGGTAGTGTCCTAGTGGCTTCTTAATTCTCTTATAAAAGTAAGATTTCTTCACAGTAGCCACTCGTGTGTGTTTATCTCTTAGAATACTAGTAAGATTTACTAAAGTAGGGATTCCTGGGTAGTTCAGTCGGTTAAGCGTCTGCCTTCAGCTCAGGTCATGATCCCGGGGTTCTGGGATCGAGCCCCGCATCCGGCTCCCTGCTCCGCAGAGAGTCTGCTTCTCCCTCTGCCCTCTGACTCTCCTCCTCACTTGTGCTCTCTCTCTCAAATAAATAAATAAAAGTTTTTTAAAAAGATTTAATAAAGTAAGAAAATATTGTTTGAAAGTCAAGATTTATGGCATGTAGGTAAAAGATACATGAGTACCTGGTTATTTAGAGCTGGTTTCAATAATGGATCTAAAACCTCCTTATACCAGAGGCAAAGAAAGAGAAGGAGAGGAGAGGAGGGAGGAAATGGGAGGGGGAGGGGAGGAGAGTTAGATACCCGTGGGTGTTCCAGAGATAGGGCCTTTGCCCTGCTTCCCTAATACCGCAGTCTTGGCTTGCAGTCTTGAGTGAGGGTCATCTAAGGAGATCCTAGATTACGCACTGTATCCAGCAAAGTGCAGGGAGCGGCCACGATTTCTTTGGTATCCAGGAGGGACAGGCAAATATGTGTAAAGAAGATTCTTTGCATTTGCAGGGATGAGGACAACGGTGTGTGGGACCCAATGGCTGGAGACACAGTGGATCTCAGGCATCTCACAAGATATTAGTGTGCATGGGAAGCCTTGTCCAATGACCAGATTCCTTCCTCCCACCCCAGACTTTGGCAGCCATGTATCCCTGAAATGTGGGCACAATCCCAGCTAAAATTGGCTGAGATCATCCTGAATTGGCCAAGATGAAGTTTCTGCCATTTGTTGAAAATGAGGCTCAATAAAAGAAATTAAATTGAGTATCCTGTGTTTGGGTTTGAGAATTCGTACATAAAGAAGTCTAGCTAATGAGTAACTACTAGAGAGCTCTTGGATCCCAGAAATTTATTGGCATATATGCCCATAGTTTAAGCACATCTCTGGCGGAATCGCTGTCCTTTTAGCCTGGTTAAAAATCACTTTCCTTCAAGTTACATGGTTGTTCACGTGCTCTGGATTTGAAGAAATGGGAACAGGGAGAGGAAGGAATATTTCAGTAGGGTCTCTGAAATGTTTGGGTGGATTTTGCATGAATATATGGTGATTTATGATACCCGGAGTCACCAGGGAAGGGGTGATTGCCACTTATGTGTCATCCAAAGGCAGTGCTGGTGAAGAAAAGGATGCAATTTATCATTGAAGGCCCTGGCTTTTTCTCCCTGTGGTCTGTTTTCCTCCCTCAGACACCCACTAAGCCCACTAGGATGGCATTATCTTCTTCGTCCTCCTAAAGTGTATGTCCTTGTGTCCTTTGGTCAGAGGCAGGTGACACAATGGGAAGAGTTTGGACTTCTGGAATGCTGCTACCATAATGCATCTCAATCTGGCTCTGTGGCGTTTTTTTCCTCTTACTGCTGTCATTTAATGATTTCATTTCCTAATGAAAACACACCTATAGAAATATTAAAATATTAAAATATTTTTATGTAGTAATGTGCATGATCCATCAGAAGATCTGATTTAGCCCAACTATGGCAATAAGAGGTGAAAAATGAATTCTACACATTAACTAGAGTTTCATGTTTACTCACTTTCTCCTATCTTTGGAACTTGGGAATATAACACAGCAGCTTGGCACTTTAAATTTCAAAACATATTGGAGTATATTTTGATTCATTAGCATGGAACAGAACTTTAGGCAAAGAGATGCATTATAAACTGCGATATGTTCCCTTTTATAATAAAACAAACCACATTTTCAAGTTTGGAAAATGTTTAAATGCACATGGTTATTATGAATTCCCTAACATTGCACTTACAATGAAGTCAAATCTGGAATGTTTCCAAAGATATTCTGTATGATCTTCATAACACAGAGCATGCAAAGAGTCCAGAGTAAATGGTATTTGCATTTCTACTGGAGATTTTACGGGGATACTCTTTTTGGCAATCGTGGTATACCTTAATGTTTCATTTATTGTTTTCCAAAGGTCTTTCTGTAAAAAGACATAAAATGCTCAAGTTCAGCCATCTTGATTTCATAATCACTGGTCAGTTAAGTGGGGAATCCAGCTGCAACTTTCTGACTCATTCCTGGTGCTTATGAAAAATGACAGCATTGGGCAGAGAAGTGCTTTGTTTTTTTCAGGATGAACTGGCAAAGAGCCATCTCCTGCTTAATAATCTGTTTTTCACCTCTCCTTTATGGAATCATAGCTCAGATTCAGAGAGAAGATATTGAGATGCCAGAATATGATGATTCTCTCATCTTATTCACCTGGTACCTTTGTCACTCACACAGATAATAGTATTTTTCTAAAACGTTCTCAACTTGTACCAAATGCTGATCTGCTGGCTCAACTGAAAAGTGTTCCTTCCCTTTGGGTACGATTCTGTCATAAAGGAGATGGTTACAGCATTGCCTTTTTAACTCACTAGCAGCGAATGCTTCGTCATCCATTCACGCGGGAAATATTTTAGAGTAAAGCTCCCGCATCAAGAAAACGGTCACACTACTGTCAGGTTCCTATCTCTGCAATCTGGTTAACCTTTGATGGGCTTTTAAAAATCCCTGAGACCTAAAGGAGGATGGATTTTACCATATCTTCTCAACAAACCCTTAGTACAACACAGTCTCTCACACGCACACACAAACAGGAGTTATCCTACAACAGGTTGTCATGGCAACAAAACTACTAAACACACTGGGAGGGAAAACACTTGGAAAAATAAAAAAAATTGAACATAATTTTAGGAGAACTTAAAATTATATGTGTGTATATATGTATATATACACACACACATATGTGTGCATATAAAAGTTTCTTGTGTTTTTTCTTAAGTGAGGGCCTTAAAATAAATGCAAATGCAATGTATAAGTTTAATAAAAAGCAAATACCCTTTATTCCAAATTTGTGATTTCTGCAGCTTTTTAATTTTGAATGGTTCTTTCTGTAATCTAGTTTTCTGGGAATTTATTGTGCTTTTATCTTTGGCCTCCAACTCATCTAAATGATTACTGTAATTCCATTCATACTGGCAAGCATCTGGCCCTGACTTTGCATTTTCTATTTTGTTCTCACTTTTATGAGTCTTCTCCCAGTCTCTCATGCATTTCCTCAACTCAACCACCTGAAATTAAGCAAATCTCTACCCTTCAAAAACTTAGCACAAAAGGCAGGCCATCAGCCACCCTTCTCCAAAAGCTATTATTTGGGTTGCTGACTTACTTAAGTGATTAATTTTGTTGTTCTGTGTCCATTTCATCCCACAAATTCCACCACATTTTTTTCTAGAAGGAATACCTAATGTACACTTGTAAAAATCTTCTAGTACCTTCCTGAAGCCAAGTCAGATGTATCAACAAGATGAAGGATGTGTAAAGAAAATGAATTTACGTATTTCCCTTCTGTGTATTTGCCAGATTCTAAGGAGGCAACTGATTTAAGAATTGAGGTGAATCTTTGCAAGATGTGTTACTCAATGGTCACAGAAATCAGAAAACATCACATGCTCTGAAAGAATCAGAGTCATGAGGACGCTGATGATCTCAGCGTCATGAGATCGAGCCCCATGTCAGTCTCTGTGCTGGGCGTGGAGCCTGCTTAAGATTTTCTCTCCCTCTCTCCCCCTCTAAAAAAATGCTTTAACCAATGAAGTCAAGGTCTTTGTCTGGATATGGAAAGATTTATCTGATGTATTTTTTAAATTGAGGTTTAAATGTATGTACAAAGAAATGCACAGATCTTAAATGTATAATTTCTTTTTTTTTTTAAGATTTTATTTATTATTTGAGAGAGAGAGAATGAGAGAGAAAGCATGAGAGGGGGGAGGGTCAGAGGGAGAAGCAGACTCCCTGCTGAGCAGGGAGCCCGATGCGGGACTCGATCCCGGGACTCCAGGATCATGACCTGAGCCGAAGGCAGTTGCTTAACCAACTGAGCCACCCAGGCGCCCTTAAATGTATAATTTCATGTAATTTTTTTAAAGTAAACTCTACGCTCAATATGGGTCTTGAACTCACAACCCTAAGATCAAGAGTCCTGAATATATATGCCCATGACCAGTATCAGTCAAGATACAAGACATTTCCATCATCCCAGAAACTCCTCCTCTTGTCCCTTCCAGTAAATTCCCACTCCCTATTGGCAACAACTATTTTGATTTCTATCATCACAATTAGTTTTGTCTGTTCTTGAAGTTCCTATAAATGAGATCATACAAAACATTTCCATTTGTGTCCGGCTTCTTGGAGCAATGTGTCTTTGTGATTCATCCATGTTGTTGCATGTATCAGCAACTTACTCATTTTATTGCTGAGTATTGCAATTCTGTGAGATGATTACAAAAAGTTAATCTGTTCCACTGTTGATGAAATTTGGATTGTTCTTAGTTTGGGGCTACTAGGAATGAAAAATGCTAAAAACAATCTTGTGCAAGTGTTTTTCTGGACATTGTTTTCATTTCTCTTGAGTAAATACCTAGAGATACAATTGCAGGGTCATAAGGTAGGGGCATGTTTAACTTTGTAAGAACATGCCAGTTTTCCAAAGTGGTTGTACCCTTTGACACGCTCATTGTTAGTGTAAGAGAGCTCCCTGTTTCTCATCCTCCTTATTGGCACATGATGTAGCACTCTACTGAGGTCAGGACTCGGTAAGTTTTAATCCTGCATTTCTCTGATGGCTAATGATGTGGAAAGCCTTTTGAAATGCTTGTTAGATATGTGCCTTTAATTTTTCAAGAATTTCCTCTTTTTTGTATCTTTTGGTATTATTTATTTAGTATTATTACTGGGATGGGGAAGTTCTTTATGTATCTGGAGTCAAGTCTTTTTGCAGATATATGGATCGTGATGTATTCTCCTAGTTTGTGGCTTAGTTTTTCATTTTCTTAACCTTTGATGCCTAGAAGATTTAATTATGATGAAATTTGTTTTATTGTTTTCCTTTTCTTTCAGAGTTGGTGCATTTTGTGTCCTAAGAAATCTTTACTTACCCTAGAGTTGTGAAGATAATCTCTTATGTTTTCTTCCAGAAGCTTTATGTTTTTGTTTGTATGTTTTTCTCCACAGGATGAGCTAACATCTGAGATTCATTCTCCCATGGTTGTGCTGATCTGGTTATTCAGCACTGTTTGTTGAAAGACTTCTTTCCACGTTGCACTGTCAAGGGGCCTTCGTGAGGGTCTGTTTCTGGAATTTCTAGTATGTTTCCACAATCTACTTTTTAACCTTATGCCAATACCATGCTGTGTTGATTATGGTAGCTTCATAAGTCTTGAAATCAGGCAGTTTGAGTCTTGCAAATTTGTTCTTCAAATACATATATTCTTAAATTTAAAAGGCCAATAATTATTTTGGCATAAGGAGATAATATATGAATATGTGCATAAGTAAATTTATACATTACCTCCCTTTCCCGTGGACAAAGCAAGAAACTATAAGCTATGGTTTATCCTCGGGAAATAGAAATTGTTATTAGAGTGGGGGCAGAGTCTTGCACTTTTGATTTTATGCTCTGTTGAAGGTACGTTTAATTCTTTTAAATGAACTCATTAATTACTTGCATGCTTGAAGTGTGTTCGTGGTGAGCTATGAATCTTCTTTCCTTAATATTGCATTGTATTTAAAATTTTTAATTTTAATTTTATTTTAATTCCAGTATAGTTAACATGCAGTGTTATATTAGTTTCAGGTGTACAGTACAGTTATTCAATACTTCCATATATATGACTCAATGCTCTTCATGAGTAAGTGTACTTTTAATCCCCATCACCTGTTTCTCCCATCCCCCACCACCTCCCCTCTGGTGACCAGCTGTTGGTTCTCTAGAGTGAAGAGTCTTGGTTTCTTGGTTTGTTTCTTTTTCTCTTTGTTTGTTTTTTCTTCAATTCCACATATGAGTGAGGTCATATGGTATTTATTTTTCTCTGACTTATTTCACTTAGCGTAATACCCCCTGGCTCCATCCATGTCATTGAGAATGGCAAGATTTCTTTCTTTTTGATGGCTGAGTAATATTCCATTATATACATGTACCACACCTTCTTTATCCATTCATTTGTCGATGGACACTTGGGCTGCTTCCATAATTTCCCTATTGTAAATAATGCTGCAATAAATGTAGGAGTGTGTGTTTCCCTTCAAATTAATGTTTTTGTTTTCTTTGAATAAATACCGAGCAGTGGGATTACTGGATCGTAGGGTAGCTCTATTTTTAACTTTTTGAGGCACCTCCGTACTGTTTTCCAGAGTGGCTGCACCAGTTTGCATTCTCACCAACAGTGCATGAGGTTCCCCTTTCTCCGCATCCTCACCAACACTGTTGTTTCTAGCATTGTTGATTTTAGCCATTCCAACAGGTATGAGGTGGTATCCCATCATAGTTTTGATTTATATTCCCCTGGTGATGCGTGATGTTGAGCATCATCTCAGGTGTCTATTGGCCATCTCAATGTCTTCTCTGGAGAACTGTCCGTTCAAGACTTCTGTACTCTGGGCGCCTGGGTGGCTCAGTTGGTTAAGCGACTGCCTTTGGCTCAGGTCATGATCCTGGAGTCCCTGGATCGAGTCCCGCATCGGGCTCCCTGCTCGGCAGGGAGTCTGCTTCTCCCTCTGACCCTCCCCCTCTCATGCTCTCTCTATCTCATTCTCTCTCTCAAATAAATAAATAAAATCTTTAAAAAAAAAAAAAAAAGACTTCTGTACTCTATTTAAAATGTAAAAAAGCACTTTTCTCTAAACAAATTTACCGATCTTACATTGACAGGTAGAGCTGATGGAAAAAGGAAGGAAACTCTTTTTGGGATTACCTGGTGTGGATCAATGCTTACAGACACATTCTCTCAACAAGAAGACATTACTGGCTTGGAGGCATGGGTAACTTGGTCAGTAGGTGATACAGGTGGGACATGACTCTGACATTTGAAAGTCGCCTCTTTTTTTTAAAAAACTATATTACCTCTTTATTAAAAAAAAAAAAAAAAAAGACTTACCTTGCACTGGTACATGGTACTTGAGAAGGAGAATGCTGTTGCTGCTGGTGCACATGGCCTTCTGCCAAGGCTGGCAGGAACTACGCAGAGCTCCCCAGGAAAGGCCTCTTCCATGCTCACTGAGGCCCATGGATCTGAGCTGGGTGTTGCTCACGAGTGGCATGCTCAGTGTTCATCCAGAAGCAACTCCAGGTATCTTTACTAAGAAACAGGAAGACCATTCTTTACATTCTGGGGAAAGACCCTAGTCTGGCTTTCAAGGCCTCGGGAAAGAATTTTCAGACTGGGAGCATATAGCCACCGTGAACCATCCAACCATGGGATGTTGCAAAACCACGGACAGGGTTAGCTGGCCCTCAGTGAAAAAGGTCAGCCCTTGACTGAACACCCAGGGAAATAGCACACATACCAAGCACTTAATGAAGAGATTTTCCAAAAGGCTGCAGACAGAGCAAGCCTTTGTCTGTCATCCTAGAAGCGCACATCCCCCTTGACTCACAGCACAGAAGCAACCACAAAGGAACGGCCTCGTCTTCCCACGACCCCCACCAGCGTGCACGCTGCCCTCCTGCTGGGAAGGACGAAATGGGGGCTTCTGTGGGAGGCCAGGCTGGAGTAGCTCTCAGCGTCCTACCACTGCACGCGCTGGGTCTCTACAACCGAGACTGTCCTCGCCCTGTCCTCGGTCTACCCTCCATCCGAGGGTCATTCCTGCCTGTTGACAAACCTGCTCTCCCAGGTCTCGTCCCAAAGACAAAGACCCCACTCCTGTGTGGCTTTTCCTGGAGGAGCCCTTGGGAGAGTTGATGTGCTGTGCCTATGCTGCCCTCCCTCTCCTCCCCCTGCCGCAGCAGCCAAGCGCCCTCACCTCCCCCTGCACTCTCTCTCAGCCGAAGACAGTGGCTTCAGACCCACCTGCATGCCCACGACATCCACATTCTTCCCTCTCCCAGAGAAGTAGTCTTCATTCTCACCTGCCACTGCAGACTTCTTATATTCTTTTATATATTTCTTATATTCCCACAGCCTTGTTCTTTCATAACTCCACATTACCTGCCTTCATGCTGTGTTTAAAGTAAAAGCTCAGTGTGTCTTTATTAAAATGAAAATAAACACGAACCTTCTCCTTAAAACATATGGGATCTCCCCTAAACATACGGGGTTGTCTTGAATATCAGTAGAATAGCAATTTAGGAAAAATGACCTCAGATAGCAAACCATGCGTCTTTCCCTATTGTTCCTAAATTCAGCAATGTCTGTCTTGAGTGTGAATTGTTTGGGACAACCTCACAGATCTGGCCTTACCCACCCAAGTTTCCATGAAGGGCGGTCTTACCTGATCAGGCCCCTCCACACACCTAATCTTGGTTGTCGATGTTTATTGGGTTTTTAACTGGATCGTATTCCTGCCTGAAAACATACAGGAAGCCACCTGGCTATTAATTCATGGTTTTATGGGGACAAAAGGAAGGATTATGTGATGGACGGTAACATAGATGCGATTATGTTTCTAGACACCCTTAGCAAGTAAGACGCCCTGCACGTAGCTGCACGTGTGTTTTCCCCGCGGGCCCGGGGCCACCACACTCGGACGTGGCTGCGGGAAACGTGCGCATCTTCCTCCGTGCAGGTCCTCTTTCTTCACGCTTGCTCTGTGTGCTCTTCTCGTCCTGTTTTGTGCCATTTTCACAGAATTATCCTTCATTCCATGGCCATTATGGTAACTGAAGAGACTTCTTGTTGCATTTCTGAGCTCCGGTCTTTCTGTGTCACACCTGAAGCCAGAGATCAGAAGCAGGGAGTGGAGTGTCATAGGCTAACTGTGCCTGAACATGTCCGTTTTTGTTTTTCCTTTTGGTGTCCCACAGCATCCTTTATTTTAAAAAGCTGAACGATCTGTTAAGTTAAAGAGCAGGGCATTTCGCCTAAGATGACATTTCCAATTTCTTTGGAGAAAACCAGGAAACCTAGGCCAGTGTTTCCCTCCGTGGAGCAGTCATCGAGAGCTGCGGAGCTGCCTCTTGTAGAAGGCATGGGGTCGCAGGCTCACCCCCATCTCCTCCAGGGGCCCAGCGGCTTTTCTTCTTCTTCTTTTTCTCTTGACCCCTCTTGGCATTTGAGCGGGTGCATTCTGGCTCCTGCCAAGTGCTCCAGTCCGCCGTCTAGGCCGCATCGCTCCGCTGGTCCTGAGGGATGGACAGGCACTGCTCCACCGGTCTGCTCCCACTCCGGCCCTACTTGTCCCGTAAAACGCCCGAACCCAGAAAGGGTGGCCTCGTCTCTTGTCCTCGGAGGCCGGGGGTGGTTTCACGTTTCCCGAGAGAGAGAGGCTTACGGAACCTGTCTTGCTTTGGGCGGGCAGTTCGCCCCCTTCACGAGGAGCACTCTCGAGGAGGTCTTCGCTGCTGGTCGGAGCTGTCCCTGTGCCACCAAACTTCCCCCTGGCACAGCCCCGGGAGCTTTAGCGCTTAGCTACTTCCTGTTCTGGGTGAGTCTGTGAGTGACAAACAAGCCATCTGTTCACCCCAAATGAAATTACCTGGTAGTCCGTGTCTCTCTTTTCCTCAGCACATGTGACCCATGGGAGACAAAGAAACGTAATCTGTTTTTACTCGGGTTACAATGTGGTCCCGGGGGTGGGGTGGGGGGCTTCCTGCTATTCATTTATATACCATGCTAGCCTGGAATGTAAAAATACGGTGACTATCCACGCTTATTGATGAACAATAACATTTTCAATTTTTTTTTTTCTGTGAAAGGTTCGAATTCCTTTTGAATTTATCAGACATGCATTTTGAAGGTATTTCAGAAACAACCCTTTCCCCCACTTCCTTACTTAAATGGCATGCACTTGACTGTTTTGAGTGCCTTGAGGTGTCGAATTAAGGATTTTACACGTCTGTCCCTACACTAATACTATTTTTCTAGGAAAAACTGCATTTTTGACTTCCAAATATGCTCCTTTAATTATGCATGGCCTGGAAGCCAATTTTTATTAGGTTAAGCTCTAAGGGCTGATTCAAGTTGATCACCACCATCCTTTACAAGTCTCCTTAAATGCTGGCTGGTGTGAGAGGATACTGCTTAAATTTTCTGATAGGAAAGAATTATAGACGATTTTAATATGATCAGCAAACATGCCTGTGAATATTTAGCCTTCCAACAGCCAAAGCTCTGGGAGGAAAACATGACCGCACTTGGGAATAAATCCTATTCCTGTGATGGTGTCAATCTCCGTTTTCATTAATAACTCGGTAAAGAGCATGTGTCTTTTGTAATCATCTCAGGTGGATTTCACAGAGCAGGAGGTTGATTTCAACAGAAATGTTGTATGAAGGACCAAATAGCACTCGCTCATTCCCCTCCTGTCATTGGAAAGGCAGACTAGCCGTGGGATTGGCGCTTCTCTGCCTTCCAAGTGAATCTCTGTTCCGTAAATATCTGCTCAGCCAAGGGCATAGGACTAAATAATAGAACTCAAAAAACCACAGAAACCAAAAAACAAAAAGCTAGTCAGCATGAGTGTGTTCTCTTCTCATCCATCCTCTATTCCCTGGTTTGTAATTACTCAATAAATTCCAATGGGTTGTAGTTTAAAAACGTCATCCATCATCCCAGGGACGCATTTAAGTTTTACTCAGCACGGCATGCTGACAGGTGTCCCCCTGGACGCCAGGGTGGACAATGCTGGCCGCTGCTTAGGAACCCTCCACAGAAGCTGCCCAAGTTTACAGAAATTCACACTTCTTACGTTTTACCCCATAGTTGTACTTACTGCTCATAGATTACAATCCCAGGGCTAGAAGGGGTCTTTCATATTATTTTATCTGATTATTTTTAGTTTGTCTTTTTTTTTTTTTTTTCCATCCAGAAAACTCTTTCTTCGTGTCCTGCACTTCACCTGGTCCCATCACATTCCTTTTTCTCTCTCCAAGGACTGTGTGAAGCAGAGTTTTAAGTGCCTCCACGAGTCACTGCTGTTTGAGAGACATTGTAGTAAGGTTTCTGAAAGGACAGGACTTTGTGGGGTGTATCTTTCAGGATAGACTAGGGTATGCTGCAATAACAGGTTAGTATTGAAACCCCGCTGCTATGTGCAGCCACCACCGTATCTTGCTTGGAGGGCATCTGCTCCAGGTATGGGGGCTCCTGATGTGGTTCTCCAAAGCAAGTCGCCCTGCCAGCCATGGCAATGGTAGACTCCTTGGTTGGCACTGGGGGAAGGAGGAGTTGCACAGTGTCATGGGGCTTCTTTATTCCCTCAGCCAGGGACTGACCGATGGTGCACCTCTGCTCACGTCTCATTGGCCAGACCTGACCACAGAACCTCTCTGAACTGCAAGGAAGCTGAGCGGTCTGCTTTGCGTGTGCTAAGAAGAAAGCGCCTGGGTTGAGATTTGGTGAACAAGCTGTGAATATGGGCTGGGACTCGAGGCTCCAGCCCCCTTGCTTTCTCTGAAACACAGTCCGTATCCTGGTATTCGCTTGACAACCCGTTCTAGAGGCAAATGTCAGTGTTAACACTGGATGCTCTGGATTTATGCACGTTCACTTGGCACTCATCACGTAGCCCAGAGTAACTGCTTGATTTAGATGGGGCAGGACAAGCCTGGCCAGCAATGATAGCATTTAGTTTGGTGACATTAAACATTAAACTAGTGAATGCAACCCCTTAATAAGAACTGGGAATTTAAACACTCCTTTTAAGAACCACGTTGGTTGGGGCACCTGGGTGGCTCAGTCGTTAAGTGTCCGCCTTCGGCTCAGGTCATGATCCCAGGGTCCTGAGATCAAGCCCCGTGTCGGGCTCTCTGCTCAGTGGGGAGCCTGCTTCTCCCTCTCCCACTCCCCCTGCTTGTGTTCCCTCTCTCACTGTGTCTCTCTCTGTCAAATAAATCAATACAATCTTTTAAAAAAAAGAACCAAGTTGGTTATCAGTTAAGTAATATATAATCTTGGACATACTGATTTGAAAGTTAAAGTTGAAACCGAAGGCAGAAAAACATCACATATTCTCAGTGAGGTCACCTCTAACTCTCCCCAACGTGGGAAGGTACATGGGCTGGTCTACAAACCCACTCGTGGTCTGACCCTCTGCAAACCAGTTAGCCCTTCCTACTCTCTTTTCCCCTAATTTGTTTTCTGACAATAAAAAAGAACACATGTTTATTGTGATAAATTTGAAACTTATTAACAATTATAAAGAAAATAAACAGAATAAAATACTCTTACCATATCAGTGTGTCTCTTTATTCATGTCTGTGTGTATGTATCTATATATATGTATATATTTAAACAAAATTGGTACTTACGTAATATCATCTTGTATCACATGTTTTACTTGACACAAAAATATGAAGATTATATTTCCGTGCTATTAATTATTCCTTGAAAACGTAGCATTAAAATTTAACAGTAGGGTAGAAGCACAAACAGTTAACAGCCCATATTATGGAGTCATTCCCCTATTTTTGATATTTAAGCAATTTCTATTTCACAATATTCCATATAATGCTGTAGGAAACATCTTTATAAATAAATATTGTGTACATCTCTGATAATTTCTTCTGAAGACACATCAAGAACTATAATAGTGGGAATATAACTGTTTAATATTATTTGCATATATTGCCAAATTACCCTGGAAAATCCTGAAACAGCACTATAATTTTCTTTTAAATCTTTCCTTTTAAGATAATTTATATATAGTACTGCCTTATTATTTTCATTTCATTTTGGATGGTTGAACAGGTCAGGTTTTTTTATCATGTATGTATTGATTGGTTATACTTATTTTGTTAATTGCTTTTCTATCCCCAGTTTTTCTAATGGATTATTGCACTTTCTTGTTTCCTTTTAAAAAGTTCATTTTAAATGAATAATATTAATGTTAACCCTTTAAATTCCAGTTACCAATACTCTAACATGATAATCATATTGGTTTTGGATTTAAAAAAGACACGCAAATATTGAGTTAGCAGCATTAAGCAAGAATATTCAGTAAAATGTATTGCAAAAGGATTATTCATATGGTAATGCTACTAACAATTACTATTTTTGGACTGCTCTCTGTGGGAATTGAGTTATACACTCCACCTACACCAGCTGCTGAAGACTTCTGAAAAATGGGGGCTCCTGGGTGGCTCAGTTGGTTAAGGGTCTGCCTTCGGCTCAGGTCATGATCCCGGGGTCCTGGGATCGAGCCCCACATCGGGCTCCCTGCTCAGCGGGAAGCCTGCTTCTCCCTCTCCCACTCCCCCTGCTTGTACTCTCTCTCTCTCTGTCAGATAAGTAAATAAAGTCCTTAAAAATAGATAAATTTTTTTTTTAAAAAAAGACTTCTGAAAAATGGGCATTATTCTTCCCCATGTTCAGATGAGGAAGCTGAGGATTAGCAAGATCACATAGCTTCTCTAGCAACTAGCATCTTGTGGAGCTGGAATTCAAATCTAGGTTTTGAGTACTCCAAGGCTTGCCTTCTGGTCATGATGCTCATCATAATAAGGTCGACCACAAGCACTGCAAAATGTCTGGGAATGAGCTTGCAGGGAATCCTGCAAGACCTATTAATTACAGCCGTCTCTAAGATCCCGATCACCAAACTTCATCTAAATGGTGTGGTGGTGATCTTCCACACCCCCAGCCCTCTGCCATGAGAATGCAAGGCCCACAGCGAGAGCTGAAAAAGTCAGAAACCAGTGCCTCTAATGAAAGTGTCATGTCTTGAATGGTCCTGGGTGAGTTTCTGAAATTAGTTTTATTTTGCACCAGGGATTACAAAATACATAAAATGCACAGGGAAGATTTCATTGTATGTAAAGAGTCTCTGAGTTTGGGGGACTTTGAGATGAAATCTCACATGCCCTGTGGACTGCAAACCCCTGGGAGCTATGCAAACATCAGGGCTCTCACACCCAGGTTCTGATGAGAGAAACCCTAGAACATACCAGAAAGCAGAAATTAGAACCCAGAAATTAGCACCAGGGAATGACTATTTTACTGTGACTCCACATTTCCTCCTATGGAAGTGGGAGGCAGGGGGATGATGCTGAACATCCCTGACTCAAGCACTGTGTTGGAGAGACCGTCGTGTGGGTTCTGTCGATGCACGTAAGTTAATATCTATTTGGGTATTGTCTCAGTCTTTGTACTTACACGCTTTACCTTAAGGAACTTAAAGACCAATTCCATCCTGCACTATCAGTCTCAGAGAGCTGGATATTATGATTCTGTTTTCCAGACAGACTCTGGAGAAAGTACTCGCTGGGGGGATTTGCTAAATGGGGTGAGGGCCTGAGAGCTCGGGGCATCTGAGCCTGTGTTCTCTGGGCAGGTAGGAGGTGAAGGGGAGGACCAGCGTGACTCATTTCCAGCAAGTCTGATTCAAATTCTGGAAATCGATCACATTTCAGAAAAACTTAAGGGGTTCCATGTTACTCATTTACATTCCTTCCTTGATGATTAAACATTTATTAAGCACCTGCAGTATGCCAAGCAGTTACACTTTCTAGGATTATGATTGCAAGTTTGGAAAATTATATTAAAATCTTCAATTGGTCATACTGCTTGCTTAGTGCTGTTTTAGAAATTTACTCAAAACAACTGTCAGATATGCACCTAAAGATTGATTATGAGGATCAAAGCATTATTTAGTTTAGAATAAAAATGTTATTTAAAAATAAATTGCTCTCGGGACACCTGGGTGGCTCAGTCGGTTAAGCGTCTGCCTTCGGCTCAGGTCATGATCCCAGGGTCCTGGGATCGAGTCCCACATCGGGCTCCTTGCTTGGCAGAGAGTCTGCTTCTCCCTCTACCTGCTCTGCCTGCTGCTCCCCCTGCTTGTGCTATCTCTCTCTGACAAAAAAAAATAAATAAATAAAATCTTTAAAAAAAATTAAAAATAAATAAATAAATAAATTGCTCTCTCTCTGTCTCTCTCACACACACAGGCAGTTACTAAGTGATTGTTATTACATTAAAGTCAAATAATTGATTAGTTGACAAAATAATTAACCTTTGAACTAGCAGTGTTTATTGAGAGTAGAGAATTTGTAATTCCTGTGCTCTCTCTGTCAGTGGAAAATGGGGCCATGTTTTATTATTTTCCCTAGAGAACAAAGTAGTATTGACTCTACTGAGAATTATTTTTAAATGCCTCTTTAATTCTCATGAAAATGTGAGTATTTTTCTTGAAGTAGTGCTTACTTCTTTTTTGTTTATTTTTTTATTCAAGTATAGTTACCATGCAGTGTTATATTAGTTTCAGGTGTACAATGTAGTGATTTAACAATTCTATGCATTTCTCGGTGCTCATCACAATAAGTGTGCTCTTAATCCCCTTGACCTATTTCTCCCATCACCCCATCCACCTCATTTCTGGTGACTACCAGTGTGTTCTCTCTATTTAAGAGTCTGTTTTTTTGTTTATTTCTTTTTTTCTCTGTTTGTTCATTTGTTTTGTTTAAATTTCACATATGAGTGAAATCATATGGTATTTGTCTTTCTCTGTCTGACTTATTTCACTTAGCATAATACCCTCTAGCTCCATTCATGTTGTTGCAAATAGCAAGATTTTATTTTATTTTTTATTGCTGAGTAATATTCCATTGTATATATACATCATATTTTCTTTTTTTTTAAACTTTTTTTTTTTAAGATTTTATTTATTTATTCATTTGAGAGAGCGAGAATGAGAGAAAGAGAGAGCACATGAGAGGGTGGAGGGTCAGAGGGAGAAGCAGACTCCCTGCTGAGCAGGGAGCCCGATGTGGGACTCGATCCTGGGACTCCAGGATCATGATCTGAGCCGAAGGCAGTTGCTTAACCAACTGAGCCACCCAGGTGCCCCATATACATCATATTTTCTTTTTTTTTTTTTTTAAAGATTTTATTTATTTATTTGACAGAGACAGAGACAGCGAGAGCAGGAACACAAGCAGGGGGAGTGGGAGAGGGAGAAGCAGGCTTCCTGCAGAGCAGGGAGCCCGATGTGGGACTCGATCCCAGGACCCTGGGATCATGACCTGAGCCGAAGGCAGACGCTTAACGACTGAGCCACCCAGGCGCCCTACATCATATTTTCTTTACTCATTTATTATCAGTGGACATTTGGGTTGTTTCTATGTCTTGTTTTTTTGTTTTTTTGTTTTTTTTTTTGTTGTTGTTGTTGTTGTTTTACAGATTTTATTTATTTATTTGAGAGAGAGAACACCTGAGAGGGGATAGGTTCAGAGGACGAAGCAGACTCCCTGCCGAGCAGGAAGCCTGATGAGGGACTTGATCCAGGGACTCCAGGATCATGACCTGAGCTGAAGGCAGTCGCTTAACCAACTGAGCCACCCAGGGGCCCTGTTTCTATGTCTTGGCCATTAAAAATAATGTTTCAGTAACCATTGGGGTGCAATATATTTTTGAGTTAGTGTTTTCATTTTCTTTGGGCAAATACCCAGTACTAGAATTACTGGATCATGCAGTATTTCTATTTTTAAATTTTTGAGGAAATTCCACGCTGTTTTCCACAGTGGCTGCACCAGTTTGCATTCCCACCAACAGAGCATGAGTGTTCCTTTTTCTTCACATCCTTGCTAACACTTGTTATTTCTTGTGCTTTTGATTTTACCCATTCTGACAGGTGTTAGATAATATCTCATTGTAGTTTTAATTTGCATTTCCCTGATGATGAGTTCTGTTGAGCATCTTTTCCTGTGTCTATTGGCCCTCAGTATGTCTTCTTTGGAAAAATGTCTATTCAGGTATTCTGCCCATTTTTAAATTGGATTATTTAGTTTTTTGGTGTTGAGTTGTATAAGTTCTTTATATATTTGGGTATTAACCCCTTATCAGATATATGTCATTTGCAAATATCTTCTCCCATTCAGTAGGTTGCCTTGTTGTTTTGTTGATGACTCCTTTAACACTGTAAAAGCCTTTTTATCTTGGTATAGTCCCAATAATTTAATTTTGCTTTTGTTTCCCTTGCCTTTGGAGACGTATCTAGAAAAATGTTTCCATGACTAATGTCAAGCTACTGCCAATATTTTCTTCTAGGAATTTTATAGTTCCAGGTCTCACATTTATGGTTTCAGGTCTCACATAAGTAGGATATACAATTGTTGTATCATTTTGTTGGATTGTTCCCTTTATCATTATGTAGTGTCCTTTGCCTCTTGTTACATCTTTGTTTTACTTTTTTTAAGTAAGCTCTATGCCCAATATGGGGCTTGAACT